AAATTTTAGATATGAATTAAATGTAAATTAATTTTCGTATTTTATTAGATTATAGACTACTATTACTAAAAAAATGGTAAATAAAAATTAAAAATTATCCTTAAAAAGTAACGAACATTGTGTTAGATAAAAAGAAATATTATATTTTCGTCAGTATACAAATAAAAACATTGACTCAATCCAAAAATAACATATTTATTTTAGAGGGTTAGTGGTCCACTAATTTATTTTTTAAAAAAAAGACTAGAACCATTATTAAAATTTTCAAAAATTTAGGGGTAATTATAATGTATAAAATAATTTTATAAGTTGGTGCAAGAAAGGACAAAAAAACTCAGGGAACTGAACTTCTCGTGTGTTGAGCTTTTATCAGTTTTTTCTTTTTTTCTTGTGGCTGGGCAGTGAGCAGCGAAGAGTGAGTGATATAGAGAGGAAAAAAAAAAGGAAAGATAAGATAGGTTTTAATCAAGTGGGCCAAAAATTTTGTTTTTTAATGATTATGGGTCAAAAGTTTTGTTTTTAATGTTGAGCCAAAAATTTTGTTTTTAATATTGAGGTAAAAGTTTTATTTTTTTTAATAGATTTGGGTGGATTGTGATAGGCCAAATATTTGATTTTTTAATAAGTTTGGATAGATAATAATGAGTTCAATTTTTTTTTAAATGGACTTAATTATTTAATTATTTTGGGTAAATAATGTGGGTCTAATATAAATGAGGAAGTACACATAATATATACGTATAAATATATAATATATATATCTAACTAATAAAAAAAAAAAATTGAGGGGTGCACGTGCCCACCCTAGCCCCTAGCTCCCTCTGCCTATGCACGTAGATATTACAACAGTGCAAAAACTCGACTTTTTTATTGAAATATTTGAGTTGCCTTACATCTACGATAACTTGTCTCTTTTAAAGCATTTTTCTTTCAAAGTTCAACACATCTTTTATCTATTCCACTCCATTACCTACGAGGAAATTGTAAGAGAAGTCATGCTGTGACATAACTTTTTTTTCTCTTCTTTTAGGACTTACTTACAATTAATGTGAGAGGAGTCTACAAAAGTGACCCTCAATAGGACTACCCGGAGCCAGTAATCAAACCAAAGGGATGGGTTAACACCATTGCCAATTGTGCTTTTTATGTTAAATACCTTCAATTTTTCTTGTATGTGCACGATTTTTCAAGTTATTGTATACATCCTGAACTCTCCCGTGACTTGGCAATATAATACAAAGGATACGTTGTTAGGATGATTTTAAGTTATCAAAAAATGAGAAAACATTGATTGGGCAGTAAGTGTAATTTTCAATTTTTTGGCTCTAGAATTGCAATTAAAGAGAAATACATAAGGGAATGTAGTCAATATAAATGGATGAGAATCTTGTAATATATGCATGTTGTCAATTTTTGTAGATCATCCATGAATTATTGGTGGGAGAAAGTGTACCAATGATCCAAATCCCCCAAAAAGAAAAAAAGAAAAAAATGTTTTTTTTTCACGGTAGTAAAGTCTCATCTTGTGTGTTGGCCAAAATGACAATAGTCACATTGAACCTTCGAATATGTTCAAAAATCTCAAAATACTCTTCTAGTTCCTGGAAAAATTTGCAAAACTCCGTGTCCATTGAGAATTGCACGGAGTTTTCCCATATATCAACCGGAGAATCTAACAGAGACATTATTGGGGAGATTCAGACTAAAAAATGAGACATTTCAACCTAATTTGAAGACCTAACCTAAAAGATCTAATGAATCACAACTGTTAAGTTAAGAGTGGGCTTCATTTAAATATTGAACAACTAATCCAATAATTATATTGAATTAGATCATTGATTCGATTCTTAAATTAAGTTCTTATAGCATTACTCATAAAAATAAAATAAAAAAAAATAAAAAAAAAGGCCTACCATTGTCATTTATGAGTGCTTTAATATAAAAATTAAAATTCTCCAGACAATTATAAATATATTAGTAGAGAGTCAAGTATCATATAAAAGCTCAGGCATCTTCATCATGATAATCACATCCAGAACAATTGTACAAATAAAATTCTTCTCTTCATAGTTAATATTTCTCATCGCACCGTAATACTACATAATTCAAATAAAATTTAAAATTTTTTTTCAATAATTTTGATTAATTTTTTCAATAAGACTCAATCATCCAACAAAGATGATATGTATTTAGTTATAATTTCTAAATTTCATTTGAATTATGTAATATTTTTTGTACTCTAAGACAGTGTACTCTAAGACAGTGTACACACAAAACATCAAGAGAGAGTTCATGAAATCAAAATCACCACCCACCAGAACCCCTCAAATCAAAGGACCTTCCACCCTAATGGTTCAACAACCACACCTTTTCTCACCTCTGTACTAAGGTCTGCTTTCAGTGCTTTATCAGAGTTATTTTTTTTATTATTTGTTTAGATAAGTAAAGTATTTATACTGAGTGTTTATGTTTGTTACTAGTAGTATATTATAACCACAACTACTTAACAGGTGAGAGAGGAAACAAAGAGTGGGTAACGGAAGGTGTTGGAGTATTGAAAAGAAATGGTGCGGCCATGGATGAGAGGCTTGCCGTCATTGACAAGGCAATCGTCGAAGCGGAGGCGCTTGAAGATTTGAGGGTTGATGAGGCGGGTGGAGCTGAACGAGCCACAGTGGAGGTGGATGCCGGAGATGTCACAGCTGGTGGCGCACACGTTCGTGATCTCCACCGTATATGTGGGTATGCCGTTGGGAAGGGGCGGTGTGGCGCCCTGGTTTATAACGACATCAGATTTTGAACATTTGTCTCCCATTCGATTTGGTTCCACTTGGTTTCCTGCGGAAAGGAACATGTAAAAACAGCACAAAGATACTTTATTATTGGGATTTAAATTGAGAATTTAATATACCGTGACTATAAATAAATTATAGACAATTTTATGGTCACAATCATTAATTTTTCAAAGTATATATTTCCTCGAGCAGAAGTTTGGACTCTTACGAACAGTTTTAATAGAGAACAGGTTTTCCAGCCCAATTCCAAATTCAATCAGAAGCTGGAGACCCATGAGCTAACGATACTGACGTGCGCCACCCAGTATCTGAGGCTGAGTACAGTACAGAATAGGTCATACAGGATCGATGAACGTGGAGTGTAGTGCAGTGTTGGTCTGCATAAAAAAATTGGAAGCGAAACGACGACAATAGCAACGAAGTGGAAGAGAACAGTTGATAGGTCATTATCATTCACAGTGCCATCAGAGATTCTCTCTCTTTGTCTCAAATCTTCATATGCAAAAAGCCACGAAGTAATAAAAGAGGAGGCGAAGTATGTACGAAAATGAGGGGTTTCTTTATGGGATTTATCAAATGAGTTGGCAATATCAGATTACTCTTGGACCATCAAATACTGATAAAAATATTTTTGACTGGATTTAGAGTTATCAAAAATATTTTTTAATAAAAATTTTGATAAGCATAATATTACTCTTTTTTTATAGCTTACCACGACCCAGAAGCTTGCGATGTCGAGCAGAAGGTGTCTTGTATATACTAGTTCCATCAGAGATAACTGGGCTCCACGCCATGGATGGAGGACCATGTTCAAGACCTGAAACAAAAAAATAAGGGTGAGTAACACTTGGCCCCTAAAATTTAAATTCACAATTTTCATCTACAAGGCTCAATCAAAAAGAAAAGGATTGGTAATATAATTTGGAGATTTAATGATTATAATTATTAGATTATTAGTGAGTTCTAGTATTTAATATATTTTACTATTAATTCAAGGAACACAATGCATCAAGTTCTTAAATTATGTCTCAATAATATTAAAAAATAGAAAAGTGACAAAATAATCCAAAAGTAAATGTTCATTGTCTTCTCTGATAATTTTTTTAAAAAAATATAATTTAGACATAATTTAAGAACCTAGCTAGGAGACCTAATGAATTATAAGCATTGGATTAAAAGTGAGATTTATGTAACATTAAATTCACAACTAANAAAAAAGAAAAAAAGAAAAAAAATGTTTTTTCTTCACGGTAGTAAAGTCTCATCTTGTGTGTTGGCCGAAATGACAATAGTCACACTGAACCTTCGAATATATTCAAAAATCTCAAAATACTCTTCTAGTTCCTGGGAAAATTTGCAAAACTCCGTGTCCATTGAGAATTGCACGGAGTTTTCCCATATATCAACCGGAGAATCTAATAGAGACATTATTGGGAAGATTCAGACTAAAAAATGAGACATTTCAACCTAATTTGAAGACCTAACCTAAAAGATCTAATGAATCACAACTGTTAAGTTAAGAGTGGGCTTCATTTAAATATTGAACAACTAATCCAATAATTATATTGAATTAGATCATTGATTCGATTCTTAAATTAAGTTCTTATAGCATTACTCATAAAAATAAAATAAAAAAAAAGGCTACCATTGTCATTTATGAGTGCTTTAATATAAAAATTAAAATTCTCCAGACAATTATAAATATATTAGTAGAGAGTCAAGTATCATATAAAAGCTCAGGCATCTTCATCATGATAATCACATCCAGAACAATTGTACAAATAAAATTCTTCTCTTCATAGTTAATATTTCTCATCGCACCGTAATACTACATAATTCAAACAAAATTCAAATTTTTTTTTCAATAAGACCCAATTATCCAACAAAGATGATATGTATTTAGTTATAATTTCTAAATTTCATTTGAACTATGTAATATTTTTTGTACTCTAAGACAGTGTACACACAAAACATCAAGAGAGAGTTCATGAAATCAAAATCACCACCCACCAGAACCCCTCAAATCAAAGGACCTTCCACCCTAATGGTTCAACAACCACACCTTTTCTCACCTCTGTACTAAGGTCTGCTTTCAGTGCTTTATCAGAGTTATTTTTTTTATTATTTGTTTAGATAAGTAAAGTATTTATACTGAGTGTTTATGTTTGTTACTAGTAGTATATTATAACCACAACTACTTAACAGGTGAGAGAGGAAACAAAGAGTGGGTAACGGAAGGTGTTGGAGTATTGAAAAGAAATGGTGCGGCCATGGATGAGAGGCTTGCCGTCATTGACAAGGCAATCGTCGAAGCGGAGGCGCTTGAAGATTTGAGGGTTGATGAGGCGGGTGGAGCTGAACGAGCCACAGTGGAGGTGGATGCCGGAGATGTCACAGCTGGTGGCGCACACGTTCGTGATCTCCACCGTATATGTGGGTATGCCGTTGGGAAGGGGCGGTGTGGCGCCCTGGTTTATAACGACATCAGATTTTGAACATTTGTCTCCCATTCGATTTGGTTCCACTTGGTTTCCTGCGGAAAGGAACATGTAAAAACAGCACAAAGATACTTTATTATTGGGATTTAAATTGAGAATTTAATATACCGTGACTATAAATAAATTATAGACAATTTTATGGTCACAATCATTAATTTTTCAAAGTATATATTTCCTCGAGCAGAAGTTTGGACTCTTACGAACAGTTTTAATAGAGAACAGGTTTTCCAGCCCAATTCCAAATTCAATCAGAAGCTGGAGACCCATGAGCTAACGATACTGACGTGCGCCACCCAGTATCTGAGGCTGAGTACAGTACAGAATAGGTCATACAGGATCGATGAACGTGGAGTGTAGTGCAGTGTTGGTCTGCATAAAAAAATTGGAAGCGAAACGACGACAATAGCAACGAAGTGGAAGAGAACAGTTGATAGGTCATTATCATTCACAGTGCCATCAGAGATTCTCTCTCTTTGTCTCAAATCTTCATATGCAAAAAGCCACGAAGTAATAAAAGAGGAGGCGAAGTATGTACGAAAATGAGGGGTTTCTTTATGGGATTTATCAAATGAGTTGGCAATATCAGATTACTCTTGGACCATCAAATACTGATAAAAATATTTTTGACTG